ATAGAATATATTCTTGGGAGTGTTGGCTACATGAGTAGATACTATAAAAACTCAACAAGCAGCATATTTTAAAGATCTGTATATTTCACTACAGGTAAATTATATCAAAATTAAAAGAAATGTGTAAGGGAAATGAAGGTAAGGGATGGGATGGGGTGGCTATGGGAGCTAACTCAAAGACAGAAGCTGCACCATTGCTGAACGTACCCTGTTGAGGCCAAAGCCCACTTCATGAGTGTCTGCCAGGGGCCTGGCTGCAGGCATAGAAAGCCTGGCCTTCCAGCTTTAACCAGGACAGCACATCCTTAGCTGCTAGAGGTAATTCTGGTTATAAAAATTTCTTTTTTCCTTAGCCAAGTTGGAAAAGATTTATAATTGTGCTTGTACTAGAAATGTGTGTACAACATAAGAGTCATTTCCAAGCAGCTTAGTGGCCAACTGCTAACCTTAAAACGCCAACAAAATGCAGTTAGCCAGTTAAGGACTAGAACAGATCCAGGAGAACAGATCCAGGATAACAGCTCCCCCACTTACATTACCAGGTAAGCTGATTAGAGTCTCTACAGACACAGATGCTTCTGAAGACAGATACTGCACTCAATCGGTGACACTCAAACTCTATAGCCCATCAATAAACAAAAGCACTTTATATTTGACTTTTCAGAGGAACGGCTAGTGGAGCAGCAGCATCTTCAGAACCACAAATTTGAGACCTTCTAATGAGATCCCAGTGCCTGACAGCAGCATTTTTTATTTTTTGTTTTTAGCCTAAAGGTTGTTTGGCTGTTTACGGAAAAGAACAAAGAATGTAGAGGAGTAGATTTAAGGTGCCCTGGAGGGAAAGAGCAGGTGGAAGAAAATCAGGGAGACAGCAGACAAGGGGTGAAAGGTAGGGAACTTATCTCCTGCTCACTGTGTCCTCTGCTACCCGCTGAGCTATTTTCCTGTTGATGACATTTCACAGACTCAGTCAGAATACAGGTTGGCAATTATCTGATCCAAAGCCTGAAAACAGTACACAAAACACTTTGGGTTTGCACACTCATCCTGGCACTTGGGCTCAAGCATATAGTTTTGGTCAGACATTACAGGTAAGAAAACCCACAAAGGTGAGTTCTTCCCACAAACCATGAGAATTTCCCTGGGAACAGGGAAAACCATTCCATTGTCCAGACTGCTGTTCCATGCACTCCAGGTTCTGTCTTGGAGGTCAGGATTGCAGCTGACCCATGCTAGCCACACAAGGACACCCATGACCCTGCTACTCCATGTGAATCTTCCTTCCATCCTTTTTGTCCTCCCCGTCCATGAAGCAGTTTTGTAAAGTCCAGGTTCTGCTTGAATTTCACACTGTCTTGGGCTCTGTAGACTTGGGAGCGGGACAGTGTTGGAAGCAGCCTGCAGAGGCTCCAACGACCCAGAGACCATGCTATCAACACAGTGATCTCTCTTCTGTGACTTCTGCGTCTGATGAACAAGTACCAAGTCCACGTCTCTTCTGAGAAGGGGATAATGAGTATTTCCAGTTCCGAGGACCTTTAGCATGGATAGTTCTCTAGTCAGCATCCACAACAAAGACTATTCCCTTCCTGACATGTGGACACCCCCAAAGATAGACCTCAGGAGGAATCTGCAACATCAGGAAGGTCTTATGGCTTCTACCTGCTACGTATCTTTTCAAATAACAGAACTCTGAAGTTTGACCCATGTGGGTATGACTCTTGGGTCTATCCTACAGCTGAGCGACCTTGGCCAAGTTATTTAATGTTGCTGTGCCTATATTTCCTTAACTGTCAGATGAGGATAATACAAGCTCCCAATTCGCTGGGTTGTTTGTTGTGAGGATAAAGAGTGAGTCCTCAGAGCTCTGAGACCAGCTCTAAATCACCAGGAGCGCTACCACCATCACTAACAGAAACAGGCAGAGCTTTCCCAATAGTCCACCTGCTGTTCCGTGAACACAGAGAGCTGCTCTTCCCTAAGATGTGGGTTCCCAAGAAGGTAAAGGCACAGCAATGATATGATGTGAACTACACAGCAGGTACTTCCGGAGTCACTGATGGAAAGTTAGAATCTGCCCCTCCTAACAGCCCCACTGCTGGGACAGCACCCCAGGACACTCAGGTGGGGTGGGTCAGATAGTGCACCCCTGAGAATGATTCTGCCACCATTTTCCAGCAGTCTCCAGAACTTGGCCGTAACACTCTGAAGGAGAAGAACACTGGCCCTGGGTTGGCACCAAGGACTCTGTTCCTCTGCTGTGAACCCTGATTTGAATTGAGGGAGAGGATAACAGGGATTATTTTCTCCCCAAATGTAGCTATAGCTGAATTTCACACAGTGAAAAACATGCTGCTTTCGTTTTAGTGGCTTTTAACCTAAATGTTTTCATTTTTCTTTTGT